ATCAAAAGTTAATAGGCTTCAAATAGAGTATCACCTAAAAATGATTTGCGCATACTTGGATGACTCTGCTCTAGGTAATCAAGGTTACAATATTAATGAACTCTTAGAAGAGTGTGAGCCCTTGACTGTATCTCAAGTTCTGGTTCCTTTACTAGACCTACAGTCAAGTTCTCTGGATCAGAAACTGCATATGCTGTTTCTCTTATTACACTATGAAAAGAGATGTGGACCAGGAGCCAGTGAACTCAGTTCTAGTGCAACTCTTACACCAAGCAGTTCTGTAACCTTCAGCAAGTCTTTTAATCTTGGTATATACCCTGCACAAGGAGCCCTGGTGGTGCAGTGATTAAAGCATTAAGCTGCTAACTGGCAGTCCAAACCTACCAGCCCCTCTGTGGGAGAAAGATACAGCAGTCTGCTTCTGTAAAGATGTGTAAGCCTTGGAAATTCTATAGGTCAGTTCTTCTCTGTCCTATAGGGTTGCTATGAGTTGGAATTGACTTGACAGCAGTGGAGCTTTTTTTTTAATGTCCTGTATAATTTACGAGACTACTCTGGAATCAAATTAGATCATTAAACGTATAAAACACTACACAAAAGTAAAAGATTATTATGATGTTATACTTTGTTTTCATGACCCTGGGTCAATAGTTACCCACTCAGAAAATTCATAACAAAGAGAAGAGAGGGAAAGAGATAATTCCTAAGTTTCCCCTATTAATTAGGAAACGTCTATTTCCTAGGGACAACTATATCCCAAGATGCCTCCTCCCAATACACAATATCCAATCCGTCCCCAACTCCTTTGGTTCTTCTTCACAATCCCTCTCACATCTGTCACTTTCTTTCCATTCCCACTTCACAATCCCAATTCAGGTCCTTCTCATCTCACACCTGAACAACTACAACAACTTCTAACTGGCTAAACTCATGGCTTCTCCCTCCTTCAAGTCCCTCTGGTCCACAGCTGCTAGGTCAATTTTCTTAAAACACAACTATGATCATATCTCTTCCAGTATCTCTGATAACCCTTATTCACTTTCTCTATCAAGTCCAAACTCCTAAGGCCTACAGTCCCCGTGCAGCCCTCGTTGCCTCATCTTTCTCTCATTACTACTCCAAACAAATCCTTTCTCAAATTGGTATATTTAATTCCTTCAGATATGCCTCTAGTTTTCTGCCTCTAAGTTTTGACGGATACTGACTTCTCTTCACCTAAAATACTCCTCCACAGCTCCATTTTGATCTACAGACATTTAACCCATCCTTTACAAACCAGTTTGAAAGCCAAGCTACTATGTATATATACTTTTTCTTGAACATGTTCCTTAATATCTCTTTGCCTCTGTTTCCTCATCTGTAACATGAGGATAACAGCATCTCCCTTTAGGTATAATGTGAGGAATAAATGAGTTAATCCATGTACAACACTTAGCATGATGCCTGGAATAGGCTAAGAGTCTAAGAAATGTTAGATATTTTTATGAATCTTATTATTAGTACTGTCATTAGTGAATTTATCTTAATTCGAACTCAGATAATACTTAAGCCACAATCAGCTGGCTCTTTATGTAAACAGAGTTATCATTCTTCTCTCTCTCTCTCTCCTTTTCTATCCCCTCACTCCATGTTTGTTTTGCCCCACCACACACACAGAAACACACACACAATTACAAGATCCATATGGACAGGCTTAATGTCTTATACATGTTAATACACCAAGTAGGTAATCAAGGAGCTCTCATGATGGTGATTAAAGCATTCTGCTGCTAACCAAAAGGTTGGCGATTCGAACACACCTGCCACCCCAAGAGAGAAAGAAAGATGAAGAAGTTTGTCTGTAAAGATTTACAGCCTTGGAAACCCTATAGTACATTCTACTCTGTCCTATAGGATCCCTATGAATAGGAATTGTCTCAAAGGCAATGGGTTGCAGGTGATCATTCATACATAGCAGGTGATCAATGAAGATTTGATTAATGCACAATGAAAGAATATTGCATAGTTGACAATATTACATATGTCCCACATCCTACAGTAAAGAAACATAATAAAATGCTTAGTAAAAAATTATTAAATTTCTAGCCTCACAAAATTAAATCCTTTTGTGG